ATCCATTTACAATATCAACTTGTATAATCCATCCTTTTAATTAAATTTAAATATATATAATTTTATTTATATATAATAAAATTAATAAAAAATAATTATAAAAAAATAAAAATAAGGTTAACCTTAACTTGTAATACGTTAAGATTGAATTTTTTCAACCCACGATCCATTTACAATATCAACTTGTATAATCCATCCTCCAAATTCACTTAATCCAAACCCGACTAAACTGGTACGTTTGCTAGGTCTAAAATTAATTGCCATGGTAAATTTCAAGAAGCTGCTCCACCTGCACCTGTCATCGTGTCGAGGTGAAAAACTTTTTGCTTTATGACTTTTTTACCGTCAACAATTAAGCCTACATTTTTAAAATGGTAAATTTAGAAAGGCTGTTGCACCTGCACTGCACGTGTCATCGTGTCGGGTAGAAAATTTTTTGTTCTATGACTGATTTTACCTTCAACAATTAAGCGTGTATTTAAAATTTCAGCCATGAGCGTCCGCGAGAAGCTCTCCATCTTTGAGAATCTTCAATCCCCAACTCTCCCTTCTTCGTCCCAAGAATTGGATCTACATGATCAAAGGACTACAAAAATTCCAAACTCAGATCTCGTTACGGATACCAGTATGGCTTATGCTCCTTCTCCTCCCACCATGCAAGGGATATATCCATGTCTGAGGCTACCCAACCTGGTAATTTGGTACCATTATCTTACAAAGATAAACTCTTATTTGATGAGAATCCTATAGTTGTATCCTTTGCCACCACTCCAGGATACATGGATGAGGACTTCGATGTCGATGACGATCCGAATGACCCAACTCCCATCATCTTGCTTTCCAAAGCTGAAAAGAGACGCATAAGAGAGCCATGGATGAATGCCCTCATCATCAAAGCCTTTCACTCCAAACCTCTTGGTTACAATTATGTCTTTCCAAGGGTGAAGGCTCAATGGAAGCCAACAGGTAAGTGGGATTTCATAGACTTAGGACTTGATTTCTTTCTTGTTCGATTTCAGGTTCCAAAGAACCTAAACAGAGTCATATTTGGTGGGCCTTGGTTTGTTGGTCCCTACTATCTAACTATTAGGAGATGGGAACCAAACTTTGATCCTACAGAGGCAGTTAATTCAACTACTACCACTGATGTGTGGGCAAAGCTTCCAAACTTATGGGCTGATCATTACGATCCCACCACTCTTCAAAAAATAGGAAATGAGGTTGGGACACTTTTGCGCATAGATGCTCATACCGCTCACCACACTCGGGGCCAATACGCACGGGTATGTGTCCAAATTGATCTATCTCGCCCAATTGTGAAGGCTGTCAGAATTAGTAAAAAAAAAACAGAGGGTCCTATATGAGGGTGTTAATGCTCTATGTTTTAATTGTGGATGAATTGGCCATCGCAACAATTAATGCCCAGGACTCAAGGACAAAATCCCCCCTCATAATCAATGCTATCTCGAACGCCCCTGCAGTGAGCTCTGAGCCCAAACTAGCTGATGCGTCCAATGCCCAAGAACTTGTGATTATAATTGAGGATACAAACACAAAAAATCTGGTTGCTCAGGGTGATACTCAACAGGACTACACTGATTTTGGCCCTTAGCTTCTTGTGGAACGTCGGAAGCCTAGGAAAAAAAACCCCAGTTATTGGGAACTCATCGAAGAAGACAATGGCTACTACAATGCCTAGCTCATCTCGTGGGTCTGGAGCCCCGGCTTGCAAACTGGGTCCGAAATCTCAATCTAGATCTACAACCAATTGTGTAAGCCAAACTAACAGTTACAAGCCAAGAGCATTTAATGCTGAGCAAACCAATGTCAAATCTGATGTGTCAACTATAACTGGAAAAGCAATTCAGATAGAAAGTTTCAACGGGCAGAAATTTAAAGAATCCTAATGGGTTATCAAAAACTCATCAAAGGTCCAGAGTGTTTCTAAAGGTAAGGGCCACCTTGAGCCCAGAGCAAAAACCAAGTCTATATCAGACCCCAACCCCAAGGCCCAAAACACTCTTGAGCTTGTCAATGCTCCTATTTCTTTCTCATCATCAGAGCCCACTCCAATTACGAAACCTATATTTACCAGCCATATCACGGCAGTTGACTCTTTTTCTCAACCCATTACATCTTGTGCCCCACCTTCATCCTCCCTTTCTCAATCCCCTCACTGCTCATCGATTTTTTCTTCTCTTTGTTCTCCCTCAACCCATGGAACCCCTCAACTTCTTGTCCCTTCACCCAAACCTCTAGATCTGCTTAGTAAGGGACAACACCAAGATTTGTCTGGACAATGCATTGAAACGGATGCTAGCTGGGGTTTCTCCAAGGAGTGAGAATTGGACAATGCCACAGATTTTGGAGGCATGGCACGCTCTGATAATTGCCTACAATCATATGGATCTACAGGGGATTCTACATCTTATCCCTGCTCCATCAACTGACCTAGCCTCAAGAGAACAGTTTCAGATCATGAATCTAGAGTCGTCAAAAGGAGCCAATATCGAAGAGGACTTGGGCCTTATCATTCCGCATCAAATTTCCAGCTCAACTTACATGCCTCATCTCAAGATAATCAACATGAAGGGCAAGATGGAACATCTTCATTTAGTGTCCAAAATGCTCCCCTCGATATTTACGAAGACAGAAATGGATTACGAGACTCTCTTAATCCCTTTCCACTTCCCCCAAGCGAGGTTCTTGTTCAAGGACCAGAGGCTTCCAGTGCCAATCTTGGACTCGACACTAGCCCAGATCCTACTGGGAATCTCAAATCAGAGTGATTGGATGGTGAAGATCATTTCATGGAACTACCGTGGGGCAGCAAAACATAATTTTCATAGTAGTGCCATGGATTTGAAACGCACTCATAATCCTGCTACTATGTTGGTTGTTGAAACTAAATTATCTGGAGAAGATGCCCGAAGCCAAGCAGCTTCTCTTGGATTTGCTAAATCCTTCGTGGTCAACTCTAATGGGCTTGCTGGAGAGCTTTGGCTTCTATGGGATGATGCTGCAGTTGAGGTGGACATTGTCTCCTATAGCGATCAAGCCATTCATGCAATTATTAAGGTATGTAATAACCCTTTTTTTCCTACTGATTGGTTTCTTTCTGGTATTTATGGTAGGCCCCAAATAGATGCTAGAGCTCTTTTATGGAATGAACTATCTACTATTGTTGAGAGCATCTCTATGCCTTGGATGATGATTGGGGACTTCAATGATGTTTTAGACCAAAGTGAAAATTTTGGTGGTAATAGAATATGTCAAGCCCGTGTCCAGGCTTACTTGGAGTGCATGAACAATTGCAATTGCAACATGATTGATCTGGGATTTGTGGGTAATAGATTTACTTGGGTTAACATGAGATTTTCGCACCAACTCATTCGGGAAAGGCTTGATCGGGCTTGGGCAAATCCCAAGTGGAAATTGCTATTTCCCAAAGCAGCTCTCTTTCACCTTCCACGGACTAGTTCTGATCATTGTCCAATCTTGCTTGTTCTTAAGCCCTTTACTCCTCGCACAGGTTCTAGACCTTTTCGTATGGAAAAATTTTGGCTTGATCATCTTGAATTTCAAGCTCTTATTCAACAAATTTGGTCATCTAATAACTTCAACACATCTAATTGTTTGGATACCTCTATGAAGCAAGCAAGGATTTGGAGGCGAAATACTTTTGGGAATATTTTCAAAAGAAAGCAGAAACTCCTTTCACAACTTGCTGGTACTCAAAAGTTTGCTTCCTATAATTTTTCTCCCTTCCTTTGGAATCTTGAAAAAGAGCTTATTCAAGAATTTGAGCGTGTGCTTAAATTAGAGGAGGATTTATGGTTCATGAAATCTAGAACCAATTAGATTGTCAAGGGGGATAGGAATACCAAATTTTTCTATCTATTCACTATTAAGCACCGATCAAAGAACAGGATCCTTGGGCTTAAGAACTTTGCTGGGGACTGGATTGATGATAGCTCTTCCATTTCCAAACTTGCTACTGATTTCTTCCAGGATCTTTTCTCCACCACGGTTGATCATTCCTTTATGGACTCTTTTCAAACTATTCAACTTTCTACTGACGAGTCCCTTAGTTTGGATTCTCTCAGTGGAATTCCCTCCAATGTTGAAATTTTGAGAGCAGTTAACTCTATGAAGCCTTATAAAGCTCCTGGCTCGGATGGTACTCACCCTTTCTTTTATCAAAAACTCTGGGCTATGGTTAAGGATAAAGTCTGCAATGATGTCAAACAGATATTTCAGGAGAGTACTATTCCTGCAAAGTGGAATGAGTGCCTTTTGGTCCTTATTCCTAAAGTTAAATCCCCTGAAACTATTCAACAATATAGACCTATTGGGTTGTGTAATACCTCTTACAAAATTATTTCCAAGATTCTTGTTCATAGACTGAAGCCTTGGATGGATAAACTTATCTCCCCTTGTCAATCAAGTTTTATTCCTGGTAGACAAGGTACAGATAATGTTCTTATTCTTCAAGAATTAGTTTATTCTTTCAAGAAGAAGATAGGTAAAGTTGGGGATATGATATGCAAACTAGATTTAGAGAAAGCTTATGATAGGCTCGAGTGGAGCTTTATTCGGGAGGCTTTGCTTTTCTTCAAGTTTCCAATAGAGATCATTAATCTTATTATGTCAATGGTTTGTTCTTCATCTATTTCTGTTCTTGTGAATGGAGATAAAACTGACTCTTTTCTTCCAACTAGAGGCATCCGTCAAGGTGACCCCCTTTCTCCATATTTGTTCATTATTTGCATGGAGTTTTTATCTCTTAAAATATCTGCTGATATGAAGGCTGGGCACTGGAAAGGGTCTAAGGCGGGTAGGAGAGGGCCTTTGCTCTCTCACTTGTTCTTTGCGGATGATATTATATTCATTGGTAAGGCTACCCCTCAAAAGTGTGTTTACTTGAAAAACCTTTTGGATTTTTTTTGCAGCAGATTTGGCCAGCGGGTGAATCCGGCTAAATCAAAGATTTTCTTCTCCAAAAATGTGTCTATTAACAATAGGGAGTCCCTTTCTGCTATCTTGGGCTTTCCTTGCACGAAGGACCTTGGTACTTATCTAGGTATTCCCATCTCAGCAAAAAAGATTTTTAAAGGTAAGTGTCAATTTATTATTGATAGAGTGAGAGCTAAACTTGCAGGATGGAAGTCCAGATTCCTTTCTTTGGTAGGTCGTGTCACCCTCACTTCTTCAGTCTTAGCAGCTATCCCTAATTATTATATGCAAACCATGCTTTTACCTGTTTCAGTTCATACTGAGTTAGACCAAATATCTCGAAATTTCATTTGGGGATTAGAAGATAACCAAAAGAAGATTCATCTAGTTGGGTGGCAGACTGTCACCCAACCTAAGGTTCTTGGAGGGTTGGGACTCAAAAGTTCCAAGGAAGCTAACTTAGCAGCCATGAGTAAACTCAACTGGAGATTGTACATACGGAAGGATAAACTTTGGTGTAATATTTTTCGTAGCAAGTATAATCTCTCTAATTGTCATTCCCCCCTCCTTGCATCTGGCTCTCCCATTTGGAAAGCCATTGTTAAGGGATATGATATTTTTAAGGCTGGTATTAAGTGGATTCCACGATCTAGTGGGAATGTGAGATTCTGGACTGATTGTTGGTGTTGTGATATCCTACTAATCTCTTGGATATATGGTCCTCATACTCCTAGCTTCGAGCTCATCACTGTTGCAGAATTTTTCAATGCTGGTGCATCCGCTGCTGATCTTATTGCTTATCCCATTCCTACCGACATTGAACCCCTTATCCATGTTGTTCCTATATCTCTTTTTGCTTTAGGAGAAGACACATTTACTTGGGTTGGTAGCTCCAATGGGTCTTTCTCATCTGCTTCTGCTTATTGTATTACAAAGCATCTCCTTCTTAAACCTTTGGAGGATTGGAGATGGGTGTGGAAATCTTATACTTACCCAAAAATTAAATACTTCCTTTGGTTGCTTGCCCATGACTGTCTAAAATGCTTCTCCTTTTTACATAGACTTGGTATTATATCCTCTCCGCTATGCCCGGTATGTCATTTGGAAGATGAAACAGTTGAGCATCTCATTCGCTCTTGCCTTGTTTCTGTTGTTATTCTTTCTGATGTTCTCCTTGGTGTTTTGTCTCAAGACCAGCTGAACTTGGATTTTTTATCTTGGCTTAAAACAAACTGCTCTCGGATGAACACTAATGTTGTCCTCAATATCCCCTGGGGCTGTGGTTTTTTGTTTTGCTGTGTGGGGAATCTGGCTCCATCGGAACCAGCTCATTCATAGATCGAATCCGTATGGTATTGCCATTTCAAAAAGGCTGATCCTTGAGAAAGCCTCTGAATTCTGGGCAAGGCAGTCCCTACCAACCCTTCCTTCTTGTGGATCCTCTTTCTTTAAATGGTCCAAACCCCTCTCTCCCTTTATTAAACTTAACACAGATGGCTCTGTCCTTGGGAACCTAGGTGGAGCCGCTTCGGGAGGTTTGTTTCGTGATCATAATGGTAGTTGGATTCTTGGATTTGCCAGAAAAATTGGAATCACTAGTAGCCTTGCTGCTGAACTTTGGGCTTTAAGAGATGGCCTTGCCCTTGTTGTTGCTCATTCCTATTCTCACCTTATTGTTGAAATGGATTCTAGTACTGCTTTTAATTTCATGATGAATACTGCTTGCATTTCTCATCCCCTCAGTTCTCTGATCTTGGATTGTAGGGATCTCCTCAGACTCATTCCCTATGTTCAGATATTTCATATCAAGCGTCAATCGAATATGGTTGCTGATCAAATTGCTAGAATGGGACATTCACCGCAGCAGGATTTTGTTGTTCTTCCTCACTGTCCTGTTAATGTCAAACTTTTATGTATTCTGGGTATTATGGGATATGAATTTCCCAGGAACAACTAGTGTATTCTGTTTTGTGTTAG